AAGCCAGCCAAGGGAGGCAGCAGGCTGCCAGGGAGGAAGGGAAGCTCTCAGCTGTCCCTGCCCTCTGGGAAAGGGCACAGCCTGGGGCAGGCCTGGAGCAGCACACCCGGATTCTGCATGGAGCACGCTGAGCAGCCCTGCTGGACAAGAGGAGTCTCCTCTCTGACACAGATTATTTTTCATTAATATTCCTACAGCTTGGTGGGTATTTTCTGAATCACTGTGATCAATATGAACTGTGCTTTCTAGGTGTTCTCGGAGCTTAACAGCAAATCTATAAAAACATTTCATCACTGCACCTTCCAGGCGTTTCCTTTCTGGCCCTAGGGACACCAGGCATAATGAGTGTGCACACTGTCCCACAAATTACAGCCTACAGCTCATCTCCTAAACCCTGTTTGAGCATCTGATCGTGGAATTTTCAAAAATCATTTTCAGAGCGTTTTCATATTTTCTACAAATGATACAATAACCTAAAAGGGAAAAAAGAGACCCAAACAAAAAAGTCCCCTACATATATTCAGGCACAGCTGCTGGTTTTAAATTTACCTCTGAGCGTTTTCTATTCCCACTGACAAGATCAAATGTTTGATCTACCTTTCCTAAAACAGGTAAGATTTTTAAGCCTTCATATTCTAGGTTTCTCAAAAAAGCCCCGAACAAGACAAAAAGACCTGCCAGACTTTGCAAAGCATAAAACTAAAAAATACTGCGGTAATATTGAACAGCATAGAACAAAAACATTGCCCAAGAAAGATTATTTTTTCAGAAACTTTATTGCATTTTAAACTCTAATGTGCTGCCAGGAAGAGCAAAATCAAAGGCAATGGGGACAAGTGGTGAAATTAAAGTTCTGACCTACCAAGAAATTAAAGAATTGACACACTCTAATGAAAAGCTGCAGTTTGCATGTTAACAGAAATAGACTACTTGTCAAAGGTAAGAGGAGTAATAAAAAACCTAACAACCCCAAACCCCACTATTCTCAAGGTTAGCAACATTTCAATGACCTTGAGCCTGGCCTTGGATTTCTTAAGTACCAGCTTTGCAAAAAAAGGTTCATTTTCCATCCCTGTGTACAATTCAGTACAAATGATGCTGATGCTCCAGCTCCACTGGGCTTTTTTTTTTAACTAGAATGGTGTTACACAGAGATCCTCAATCCAGTCATGGAAGCCAGCTTCACAAATGGTCTTTTCTCCTTTTCCTTCCCCATCCTGCCCATTTTGTTTAAATGCTTCCTTTCTAGCCAGTTCGTTTCTGAACAGTTCAGCACATGTGGTTTAGGAATTACAGAGTGAGCAGGAGAGAGGGACTACAATTATCAATACAATGACTGCCTTCTTACAAAACCAGAGAAAATATAGCCTGAAATGGCTATTCCTGGTTTAGATTTTAGTCACTTAACATTTCTGGGCAGCTGTCTCAAGTAAACAACACTCTTCTCCCACCATCCAACAGAAAATACCTTCAGAGCTCCTCCACCCCCCTCAAACCTTCTGTGCAGTGTTAGGGTAGCACTGAGACAGCAATCTGGGTGCCAGCACTGGGAAGACTCGAGTCCCACAAGCACAACGTTACTTTGCCAAGCACTCAGACATACACAGCCACAACTGGAGGAAGTACTGGAAAATCTTCTGGAGCAAGACGAAACCACCCCAAATTAGATGCTGTGTGATGACAACTCACTGAACAGCCTTACTCTGGAAGACAATCTTTGCAGAACAGTAATTTAGAACTCAGCAAAAAGCGTTCACGATACAAGGAATATGTGTAAACCAGTTATATGTTTGGAAATTCTAGATTATACTAAAAAAAGCTGCCGTATCACGTTAGCCCAGTACCGAGAGATGATCAGGACATACACGGTAAGTCCCACCTCCCACATCCTACTCGGTGCACGGGGACACAGGTAACTGTTAAATCAACGTGCAGCTTCCACAAACATAACTCGTCTGCAAGAATGAGTACAGACTGAGTCTGCAGAACATTTAAATTATCTCTAATTGCTGCCTGCCCTCGGGTGCAGAATTCTCTTGCCTGCAAGTTAAGAACTGCCCGGCCTAAGCAGAGCTGCTGTTCTCTAGCAGATGCCCCAACTATCCGGACTGATGGGCCAGGGCCGGTGCAGACTTTCTGACAAGCTGATCGCCACGCACCCCGACAAAAAGCAATGCTGTCCACGGTGCGATCGCAGAGCGATCTCAAACCTGACCGTACATCTCGTGTCTCTCTGGGGTATGACTGCCTCCAGATGTTAAGCTTTTACTTGGCTGTTTAGGGTTTGTTTTTAAAACAATTTGTCCGGTTGGGTCAATCCCACACTGCCTTTCAGAAAGCAACAGCCATACCCGCCTGCTGCCTAGCACGATGGTCCGAGCCAGAACTGAGACCAATCTACCACGACACAAAACCCCGCCCTGCTCTGCTGAAGGGGCTCTTGGTCTGGGGGGATTTTTTCGGTTCGCTATGTCCTCCCCGGGACGATGAGACTCTCGCACGGGGGTGTGCCCCTGCTCGGTGCCCGGGCGGGAAGCCGCCAGCAGCGCCTCTCCAGCGGCAGCAGCAGCGCCCGCAGCTCCGCGGGGGAGGCGGCGCCCGGCCCCCCCCACCCCGCCGCTGACGGTCCCGGCAGCCCCGCCCCGCGGGGGGTGCGGGTAACGGGCTCGGGGCCTGCCAATCACGGCCAACACCGCCCGGCCCGCCCGGTACCGCCGTGACCTCCGGGGCTGCGGCGGCTCCGCCCCCTGCTCCCCGCCCCACCGCGGCCGGGGAGGCACTTACCGTCCCGGGACGTGCCCATGAGCTGGTCCAGCATGGCGCGCATCTGGGCCTGCGCCGACATCTTGAGCGCGGGGGGGGCCGGCGCGGCCCGGCCGAGTCACGCCGACAGCGGCCTACAACGCCCGAGGCGCGGCGGGCGCTCGGCCCTGCCCCTCGCGTCACGGGCGGGGCCGCTCCCCGGCCGCCGCGGGGGGAGGGAGGGCGGGAGCAGGCGCTGCCCCCGCCTGGCCTTCCCGGTGGGAAGCGGAGCGGGAAACTCGCGTGGTGCCGGAGCCGCCGCCTGCCGCCCCCACACGCTCCCGCTCCCTCCCGCGCCCGCCACGCGCGCGCGCCGGCGGGAACGGAAACCCACGCGCACGCGCCGTGCGCTGCTCCGTCCGCTCCGCGACGTCAGCACGGACGGGCCTCGGCGCTCGCCCATTGGCCACGGCCTGCGCCGCTCGCCTAGTGACGCACCGCGCGGCGAGGCTCCTGATTGGGCCGCCGGGCTGGGGCCTCGGGGCGCGCTGATTGGCCAGGGAGGCCCGCGTGGCCGGTGTGACGTCACGGTCTCCGGGTCAGCGGCGGCGCCGGGCGGGGCGGGGCGGGGCCAGCGCCCGTGTGGGGACGGTGCCCGATCGGGGACAGTTCCCTCCTGGACCGACGCGCAGCACCACTGCCACGGCCCCTGCTTCTCTCGAGCGCCGGGCACAGGCCTGGTGGGACAAGTTACTGTAACACCCCGCTGACTGAGAGCCTCCCTTAAAACTGAGCCTACCGGCGTGCGTGGCTGGGAATTCAACTTACAGGCCACCAAGATCCATTAAAAAAAAAATCCAAACAAAAAACCCAAAACAATGGATTTTACCCATTCTAACGCCTGCATTTTGTGACTCTTCCTTTGGCAGCCGTCGTGTTGCTGTCTGGTGCCCAAAACCTGTGGCAAAGATCAGTTCTAATCAGCCACAAGCGTTGTCGTGTCCAAGGTTAGCTCCATAGGAGTGAAAAAGGGCAACACGCAACCTCCCCTAACAATAACCCCGTCACCCCTGCAGTTATCTGTATGTCAGGACTTGCAGAGGATGCTCTTCTGTAACACATCCAGGAAAAGATTCTCTACCCGGTGCCCTTCAGCTAATTAGAATATTATATAGAAATTAGGTTTTTCTTTAAAATCTAAATTTACTTTTGTTAGCTGTCACGTTGGATTGAAGGGGAAGTAGATGGAGGAGGCACCAATGCTTGTTAGAGCTGTCTGTTCAGTACAGCTTAGGGGAAATTGAGAAATTTCAGTGACTATTTACACCAAACTTAAAGAGCATCTGTGTCTGGCCAAATGATCACTTTTTTATTTTTTTTTATTTCCCTTTCCGAGCAATATAGTACAGAATGCAGCAGTTGTCATTGAATAATCCTGAACCAGCAGTGTGTCACAGCCATTGTCAGTGTGTGGTGACATCCCACAGCTCTGACCTACTGCGCTGAAAATAGGTGGATGCTTTTCCAGCCATTATATCAAGGCTTTTCAAAAAAAACCCCCGATTTAACTGGTGAGACACTGTAAGACTTGCAAACTGGAATTCTGGCCAACAGAACCCTAAAACCTGTAGGTCACATCTCCTTGCAGTACCTAAGCAGCCCAAATTTTCCTTTTTTTAAAGATCTGTTGTGCCTATCCACTATACTGCAGGGATTAAACCATCTCCAAGTTTTAAATACAGGGGAAGGAATCAGTAGACTTGAACTAATTCTCTTTGCAATGCTCTTCTGACATGTAACTCATTAAGAATTCACCCCTCTGAATCGCTACTGCCATGGAAAAGAACCCAAAAAAATCTTTAAGGTGGAAGAGGTTTGTGCTGCTGCAGTGCTGGCCAGAACGCAGGGATGCTGCACAGAAGAGACCTTTGTTCTCGGGAGAGCAGGGAATCCCACACGCACACAATGTGGCTGGAACGTGCCTCAGGGAACACTGGACAAATTCACTTACACCTTTTGATTCCCGTGGGGGAACCACGAGCCCCTGCAGCCCCTCAGCGAGCAGCTGTCAGTGACGGCTGGCGTGTTTTTCCACTACAAACAACCTCTCTGTGAACCCGAGGAAGCTCCCGACACCCACATCAGCCCGTGCTCCTCACAACACCCATCCCCAAGGACGGGAACCCCGACACCGGGAGCGGGGCTCGGCTCTCTCGAGTCACGGCTCTCACACCACAGCCTCACACTGACACAAGGCACCTGCTCTAGGCCGTTTATTTATTTATTTATTGAGGAATGAAGGCGAGCACACAGCCCCGCCGGGCACACCGTGTCTCAGCCCTTCCCTCCCGGCTGCTGCGGCAGTCTGAAGCCCACCAGCCCGGCCACCTCCTGCGGCGAGCGCTCTCCCCGGCCGTGGTACTCGCGGTGCAGGGCCTCGTGCTGGCGGACGCTGCGCAGCAGGCACAGGTAGGTGTGCGCCTGGAAGTGCAGCTCCTGCTGGGCGCGGCACAGCTTCTGGCTGGTCACCTGCGGGCAGCGCGGTCAGGGCGGCGCCGGGGCCGGGCCGGGCCGGGGGCGC